AACGGGTTTCAACTGCATGGGTCCACTTTTATGTGATTTTTTTTTTTATAATAACACTATGGGAATGTAAATGTATTTTATTTTCCTTATGATTTTCTTAATAATATGTTCTTTTCTCTAGCTTACTTTATTGTAAGAATACAGCATACCATGTGCATATTCCATGTATATAAAATATGTGTTAATTGTTTATGTTATCGGTGAGGCTTCTGGTCAACAGGCTATTATGAGTTAAGATTTGGGGGAGTAAAGTTAAATGCAGGGAGTAGTCACCCCTAGTCCCTGCATTGTTCAAGGGTTAACTGTATATGTTGAGCATATTTGTATGAGTCAAGATTCTTGGTTGTAAGTGGCAGAAAGTCTAACTTCAAAAGGGGGGGATTTAATGATACACACGACGATTCCAGGGGTACATTTGGCTTTAAGTATGTATGACTGTTGAGAGGGATGTAAGTGGAGTCCAGGACACCCACCCATTCTCACGTCCACTCTCTTTGTTGACCTCCCTGTTGGTGAAAATTATTCCTTTCCACTCTTTTTTTCTTTTTTTTTTTCCTTCCATTAGTTCCTGCTCCCACCCTACTTCCCCTCTCTGGTAACAGGAAGTCTGATTTCTCTTCCAATGCATCAGTCAGTTTTCTTTCTTTTTCTTTCTTTCTTTCTACTCCATGTACAGGTGAGATCATTGAGTACATATTTGTCTTTCTCTATCTGATTTATTTTATTTAGCATAAAGCCTTCAAGATCCATCCATTTTGTTGTGCAAGGATGTTTTTGGATGCAGGTAACAGAAAACCAAAATGCAAATGATAAGGATTTTTTTTTTCCTCCTATAAAAGCAGCCCCAAGTTAGGATGAGCCCTGAGACAGCTAATTCATTCAGCAGTTCTGTGATGTTAACAAGCTCAGACCTTCTCTGCCTCCCTTCCTTGCCATCCTTAGTGTCCTCAGTGTGGCAGGCTTGTCTTCAAGGTGGCAAAATGCCTCAGCCCTTACAGGCATTGCACCTGATAGAACAACATCCAGAGACAGAAACAGAAGAAATTCTCCTTCTTTGTGTCTCTTTAAAAACAATGAATCTTTTCCAGACATCTCCATCAGAATTCTTCCCATTTCTTACTGAAGTGTTAGGTCACAGGCTTGAGCCTAAACCTATCACTGGCAAGGGGTGTGTTGGCACTGTAATTGGCTCAGCAGCATCAGGTCTTCCCTCCTAGGGCCAGGGACAGGCCAACCTCCCGAAAGGACATGACTTTGTGGGGGGAAGATGAGCCCTATGCAGATAGGGGCTCTGTTAGGAAGAGGAAAGGTCTGACTGTGGCAATGGGTGGGGTGGGGGGGCTGGAGGGAAACCAACAGTGTCTCTCTAGGCCACTGTTACTTTTTAGTTTAAATGGTGTGGAGAATATCTATGGAAATAAATTATCAGTCATGGTAACGTTTTGGATAGGTATATATTTTTAGGGAAGAAATTAAAATTTTGCACTCTAATTGGTATATACAACAGGCTGTAATGGATGCAAGAAACAAAGCTATCATCAAAGCTAAAAGAGGAGTTTGGTTCACTTTTTGCAAGGAGGAATATATATACAGTTTAGGCCCCAGTATGCTTCAGAATCATTATGCCAGGGTTCTAGTGGCCTTTTCCTACTCTTGGGCCAGCCTGGTTGTGCTTGGGCATACAGGCACATGTGTATCTGCTGTTGGCCCTGGAGAGGACTGTAAATTGGATGAACAGTGTGGATGGGGGTCGCTGGAATGGTGGGACAAAAGCCTGATTGGCTTGGATGCTTGGTTGGGTGGGTGGATTTAAAGTGTTTGTTTGTTTGTTTGTTTGTTTATATCACAAGTTACATATTTATGAAGCTTATTCTTTCACATATGCATTCAATATTCAAAACAATTTTTTTTTAAAGATTTTATTTATTTATGAGAGAGAGAGAGAGAGAGAGCACAGGCAGACAGAATGGCAGGCAGAGGCAGAGGGAGAAGCAGGCTCCCTGCAGAGCAAGGAGCCCGATGTAGGACTCGATCCCAGGACGCTGGGATCATGACCTGAGCCGAAGGCAGCTGCTTAACCAACTGAGCCACCCAGGCGTCCCTTAAAACAATTTTTAAATGCATTTTTATGTCTAGCACATGGCCTGTGTGCACATAAATACATTGAATTGATTCAAGACTGAAATTGAGACTGGGGTTCTCTTGAGTGAATATAGAAAGAGAAAGGAAGGGCATTAGGGTCAATGTGCAAGGGCTGATTAAAAAGGTGGGCTGTGGAAACCAAATAGGAGGAAAAAAAAAAAAAAAAGAAAAAAAGGAAGACTTGAGCCTATATAGATAGTGACCAGATGGTGAGGTCTTTGGGTTCAAGAACCTGGTAGGGTTGAAGAGTTGCTGGAATTAGCTTTCTAGAAGGATGAGCAGGGATAAGGGGAAATGGCAGGTGACAGAACCCCCAGACGTGGGGAGGTGAAAAGCAGTGCCTGGGTCTAGGCTGTGGTTTGGGCATGCCTGCATGGTGGGACAGGGGGTGGAGAACAGCCTCCTTGCAGTGTGGAAGTCAGGCATGACCTTTGGAAATGCTGAACTCAGTGCTTGTTACAAGAGAAAGAGTGAGCCAGGCCCTGAAATCTTCTGAGAGTATGCCGGGATGAGCGAAAGACTGTGTGCTGCTCGGGTGGGTGGGCTAGTTGGCGTGCAGACTGGTTGATTTCCCACAGCTGGTGTCTGGCTGCCCAGGGAGCCCTAGAAGAAGGATGCCAGGCGGGGCCAGCAGAAAGAGTCCACCCCGACCCTCACCCAGCTCCTGAATGGGCCTCACCTATCATCCTCGCTGAGCCACTCCACAGCCCAGAACCAGGCCGTGAATGGATGCTGGGGCTCTAGGCAGTAATTCTCTGCCGCCGCCTGGAGCAGCATGATGTCCGTGAGGACTCGGTATTCCTGGGCCGGGAGAGAGGCACAGGATGCCCACCGAGCCTGGGTGGGGAAGCTACAGGGCCAGGTGAGGGCTGAGCAGCGGGACAGGGGACCGGTCCTGGGTCTTGGCACACATGGCCACCCTCCAGCATGCAACTTCATCCAGTCCCAAACTGTTCTCAGAGGCAAGTAGAATTAACCCCTCCTCCGGGAAGTTCTCCTTGATGCATTTCTGGATCCCTACTGACTTAGTGGGACCCTACTGACTAGATGGGTCTTGCACTTCTTTCTTAGCAACCTGTCCCAGGAAATGGGAGATGGAGGGGAGTGGATGGAGCCAAGGAATGTTCTTCCCAGGGGCGTCTCTGATAGGGGCTGCCTCCCCTTCCCTAGCAAGGGCTACGTATGCTCACCTTATTCTTTTTGCAGTGGTTGATCTCATTGCCTTGGAAAGCAGACAACCGTTGTCCTTCAGAAAGAGGCCCCTGGTCAGTCCTAGCACCTTCCACCCACCCCTTCTGAGGCTGCACATAGGCCAGGACACAGGAGGGGGCCGCTGAGACACACACAATGAGACTGATGTTAGGGCAAGCCCCGGGGTCCAAAGAAAGGAAGACGTGGGGCTGGTGAAAGGGCTCCAGGTCGGCACCCTGCAGCACAACACTCTGTGGTGATAGGAGGGAGCGGCAGATGCCTCAGGCAGGCAGGGCCTGCTGGGCTCCTGAAGTGTGGCTGATGGGCAGGGTCCTGACTTCACTCTCCCCGACAGGCAAGCTCTGAGGGAGAGGCTGGGGCCCATGCACACAGAGCGCATGCAGCTTCACCTTCAGGATGTGCTGGTGCTTCAACACTTCTGGGCACCCGTCTAGGTGCAGACTCCCTTCCCTCAGCACTGAGATAGGCAAGAGACCCCTGTTCCCATGGGCGGCTGTGAAGCTGTGGGGAGGGGGCATTCTGAAGGACTCAGGGCTCAGTCCGGGAACTCTCTGCTCCCTGTCCTCAGGACTCTGGTCCCTCCTCCACAATCCTCAGGCTCACCCACCTCCAGGTAGTCCTCCATTGCAGTATCCAACATCACCAGGTCAGTGAGGAAAGTGCCAAGGTATGGGACGACACCCTGTGTCATGAGGGGTAGGTTTGGGATGAGTCCATACTCTCTGGTACCCACAAGGGCCCTCCCCTGAAAAGACTTCAGCATCCTGGCCCACCCCACTTTCCCACATGGAAGGGCCTAGGACCCTTAGTTGCTTCTCCTCGATTCCCTTTCCCCTTACCCTCCCAGAACATCAGACTCCTCCTAATCCCCTGCAGGGCCTACTTTTCGAAATTCGGATATCGCAGGGTATGGAGCCCTGGGCCCCTCCCCAGCCACAAATCCATTCTCTATGCAGCCTGCTAGACTACTTCCTCCTGGTCACCTGGAAAGAAGACATTGAGGAACTGTGGTGACAGGGGGTGGAGTTGGAGTCGCACATCCCACCTGTCCTGATTTGGAGGCTTCCAGCCCTCAGGGAGGAACCCCTCTCCCCTGACCTTGGAGGCCCTGTCCCTCAGGCACACTCACCTTCTCTGGCAGCCCATTCTGTGCTCTCCGCAGCTTCCCTCAGCAGGGTGGCAAGTTTATTCGAGGGCCGCTCCTAGAGGGCCAAGGACAAGATCCTTGAGAGCAGAATAGCCTCAGTCCCCTTGCGCCCACCGTCTTTGACTTCAGAGCCTAGACATGCGACCTACGTCTGCTGATACTGACGCTCCATTCTCCTGAAGCATGCCACGAGTCCTTCTAGAACAATCTCAGCTCCCCCATTCACTCCATGAGGGATCTGGAGCTTGGAGCCTGGCCTCCCTGAGCCTGTTCTCTCATGGGCAGAAGGGAGAACTCCACCTACCTCCTATGGTCTCCTGAGGAATCAGGATCCTATTACAATCATCATTTTTGTGGCCCACAACCCATCTCCACTCCATCTGTGAACAGAGGCCGGTCCTCTGGGCTGTCTGCGTTCATATGGGCCCCCATGTGGACAATCTCGATGGACATAGAGCGACCTGAATTCTAGCCTAGGGAGGCTGGATGGGCAGTACCAGCTTATTGCAGCCCCAGGGGGAATCTTCAGCCCAGGCTGTCTCCACATTCGGCCAAAGGCTTCCGCTCCCTGAGGAATGCTTCACGCCAGGCCAACATGCGCCCAGAAACTCAAGATTCTGAGTCGAATGGCTCCCCAAATGATGGGTGCTAACTTGGGGGAAAATCCTCTGCTAGTCCAGCGTCAGTCACAACCACAGGCTCAGAAGACCTGTGGTCCCTAGGCTCTTCCGCCCGGGGGCATGCTGACCTTCACTCGCATGGCCCAACGTTGGGGCGCTCAGTTCCTACGTGACTCCTCCTTTGCAGTGAGGGAAAATCCTCCCTCTCGCCATTAGTGTTGCTCTTTAGGGCTGACCTGTGCCCTTCTGCAGCTCTTCTGCAGCATTCCCTACTTCATCCACATGTGATCATGCCTCCTCACACACCTCCTGTTCTTCTAGCCCTGCACCTTCCATGCTACCTTGATGAGTAGTTTCCTGCCCTGGGGTTGTCTTGTCGGCAGAGCTTTGCAAATGTGTGAAAGCTCTTCCTGAAGAGAGGGAAAGAAGTTAGGCTCAGGGGAGGCATAACGTGGCAGGGTAGAGTCTGAGTCCCTTTTCTTGGAGAACCCCCACATGTCCAAAGGGCTGGCTGAGGGTTTGCTCTGGGCTGCTCTGAGCACTGAGGTCTTCGTAGGACATGGGAGGGAGTTCTCCTGGGTGTCCTCCTGGGCATCCCTTCCCAGCTTAATTGAACAGCTCGGTTTGGGGAGGGGGGTGTTTGGTTGAACCATGGGCAGAGAGTTCAGTGGCTGCCAAGTCACCACGTGGGAATATGGAATTCAGCTCAGCCCAGGGTGGCGCATGGAGGAAATTGGATTTCTCAAGCAGGAGGCATGAAGGCCTGTTTTCCAGGAAGGCTGAGAGAAGCAGCCCCAGGCCCAGGTCCTTTGGTCGGGGTTTGCTGCCTCCCAGGAGGTCCAAGCTGACTGAAGGGAAAAGGACAGTCCTTTTGGGAGATTCTGCCTCCATCCTGGTCCCTCCCTGGAGACAAGCCTACTCACCTGGAAACGTTGTCCCATGTCCTCTTCAGGCGGTGAATGGGGACGCTCTGCAGAGCCGCGAGGATGGCATGCAGGGAGGAGTAGTTCCCCAGGATCTGACAGGCCTGGGGGAGGGAAGAGAGGGAGCTGTCAGTGGGAGAGCAGGCGCCCTACATGCTCGAGAGCTTCAGTGCCCCCCTCAGTTTACGGCTCCCCCATGGATGAAGCTGATGTCCAGGGAGCTGCAGAAGGGCACAGGTCAGCCCTAAAGAGCAACACTAATGGCGAGAGGGAGGATTTTCCCTCACTGTAAAGGAGGAGTTACGTAGGAACTGAGCGCCTCAACGTTGGGCCATGCGAGTGAAGGTCAGCATGCCCCCAGGCGGAAGAGCCTAGGGACCACAGGTCTTCTGAGCCTGTGGTTGTGACTGACGCTGGACTAGCAGAGGATTTTCCCCCAAGTTAGCACCCATCATTTGGGGAGCCATTCAACTCAGAATATGAGTTTCTGGGCGCATGTTGGCCTTGCCGCTGCCTCCATTCCTTGCACTGTGAGCCTCGATGGATGGCAGCCCCAATCATCTGGGCTTGATTTTTGCTTCAGAGTGAGAGAAGCAAAAGGTAACAAGGGAGAAGTGAAACATGAGAAAACTAACTAGGAAGTGCGAAACTGTTTGCATGACATTGAGAGAAAAATGAGGCATGCTATTTCATCACGTTAAGTACATCCTGTGGCTCAGAAGCCACTCGCCTACCACTCAGAGCCTGCAGAGTGATGCCTCCACCACAGGTCACGATCCCTGGGAGCCACTGCAAAGGCTGCTCCCCTCATAGACCAGAACGAGGGAAAGAGGTCTCCTTCTAAATCTATGTGGGGAACAACTGAACCGTTTCACTACCAAGGACGACAAAGTCTGCATCTTCGTGCATTTCCACCCCATCATGGTGCGCCATTATAATGATGCCAAGAGGGAAAGGGACGGTTCCAAAACAACACAAAGCCAGGACCCAGGCCTCCTCGGAGCGTTCCTCCAGGCCAAGTCCCACCCCTTCCTGCAATTCTTCCGGCCTTCAATGTGTGCCTCTGATTCCTGTGATACCATCACATACATACAACAAATACGATCTACATACACCCCAAGATGTCCCAAAGAAGTAGATTCTCCCTGATCCCCACTCTGCAGGTTGGGAATGTGGGCACTAGGTGAGACACAGAATGACTGAGGACACAGAAGTGGGAAAGGAGAGAGAACAAAGGTTTGATTTGAGCTCTGTCTTCTGAAAGGGAGGACCCAAGTGCCATTTCCAGAGCATGGTGCCTCTGGCATTTTTGGCTCATTGTGTACGGTCCCGGGGAAGAGAGGTCAAGAGTCAACTGAAGGGACTGCGGAGACGTGTGACTGAACGAAGGGCCCCAGGTATTAGAATCCTGAAAGGGTGACCTCACATCCTTCATGATAGGCCCCAACTGAACTTAGAACTCTGGTAACCAGGCACCCACTTTCAAAGGGCAACCTGCTCTCCAGCGCACTTGAGTGGAGACCTTCGACAGAACACGATGTTCAGTTGTTGTCTTCCTACTTCCAGGGGCGCTGGGCCCAGGGGAGCCCAGAGCCGGAGACATTACTGCAGTTGCAGACAGCGCTTCAGCTCTCTTTTCCGAAGCTTCTGGTCATGGGGTGGGAGACACCAACAGGTAACACAAGGCAGCTCTGGGCAGCCCACTGGAGAAACAGCAACAACTGTGGTCCCACCTCAGCGGGCCCACACCACTTGCCCCTTACGGTGTGGGTGCACATGTGTGTGTGTGTTTGTAGAAGTGGGTACAGGGGATGAGAGACATGCCCTTCCTGGGCAGAAGCAAGCTGCCTGGTGTTGGAGGTTGGACCCATCTGTCATGTTCATACCCCAGGTCATAGCAGGCAGGATGAGAAGGTGAGGGCTGACACAATGATAAGGCTCATGGTAGTCATGAGCCTTAGAGTGTCCTCTGGCTACCTCCTTGCTCGATGTCTTTTCAGCCATCCCTCTTAGCCTGAAGTGGAGAACATGATGTCTAAAGGGGGTGTCCCCTTGTGGCAATGTCCTGGGAGGCTGCTAATGGCTCTTGGCCCTGTGGCTATGGGGCACTGAATTTTCAGAGCTGCACCCCAGATATTGTGAATGAGCTGTCTGGGGACTCCAACAACTCCAACTCGATGGACGAGGTTCACGTGTCCCAGGCCACCCAGGATCAGTGCTGCTCTGAGGTGAGAATGGGAAGAGGCTTCTCCATACCCAGGGCCCCCACGCAACTATGGGGACAAACCTGGGGCCTTCCCATAGTGTTTCCATTTAAGTATCCCACAGGCCCCACCCCAAAGTAACCCAAACCTCTGCCCATCTGCCACCAGCTATGGGTAAGGAAGGAAGACACTCTTCACCTACGTGGGACTGGTAGAGAATAGAGTGAACGTTTTCCATGGTTTGGAGGGCGGTTGTTTTCTTTCCTTTGGCCTTGTGTTGCTCTTCATGAAGCCATGAGTATCTTTGCCTTTTTGCACTGGTTTTATGATTTTCCCTACTCCTGTCAGCTAACCTGTGGAGAACCCAGGGTTCTGGAGAACTGGCCCATGCCCTTCTAAATCCTCATACCAGATGGGGTGATTGAACCTACAAAAGGGCCGGTGGGATCAAGCCATTCTATAGGTCTCTCTGGAATGTATCATCTCTCAGAACACATTTAATCCTAGGAGGCCCACCAGCTCACAGGCTGTTTCCCTCTAGGTCTTCACAGTCCCCCATAAAGGAGGTGGTCTGCTACAGTGACTCAGTCTTGCAAGGCTGCTGGAACTTGACGTGACTCAATTTGGTTGCCATTCCAGCAATGCTGCAAGGAACGGGCACCTTAAGGGTCCTCACAGATGATTTGGGTCGCTCCATCTGCCAGAACTTAGACCCAAAGATTGGGTGGAAGGCCTCTGATGCCTCCTGGCCCAGGTAGCTGGCTCTGTCTTTTCAGAGCTCCACCAAGGCCATCTGGCATGAGCTGCTGCAAGGCTTCAGCTACCCCATCTCCCTTGACAAGCAGCAGGGACCTCAGGCCTCCAACAACATCCAGTGCTGGTCTGGCGTGAGAACGGGCCCAGGTTCACGGGCAGTCTCAGGACCCAGAGATGATCAGGGCAAGGCCAGAACCCAGACTAGTGACAACTGGCTGCCCTGGGGCCTGCCAAGGAAGGTGGTTTTCCCCTGAACCTTTCTGCCCCTGACAGCAACAGGCCAAGCCTCATCAGCATAGGCAAAATGCCATGCAGCCCATGCTTTGGACAGTTCTCACGCCCAATGCTGATGATCTTGAGCAGCCTTGGAGATTCTCAGATACTCTTTTCTCCTCTTGACAGTAGGGCTCCTTTCTCATGACTCCAAGGCATACATACAGCTCTTCATACAGGCTATGAAGAGACAGACAAGCCTTTGTTGTCCAGCTAACAGCACGTGTTAAGGGCACCAGTACATTTAAGCCTAGATGGTCCTTTGGAAGCCTACAATTGGTTGGTTTTAGGTTTTCAGCCTTGAACGTTTTTGGTGGGTGGGCACTCAAGTCCCTCGTCTTGCACAAGTTCCCAAAGGGATGGGAGGATGCAGTCTGAGTTCCAGACCCTGCTCCTCCTGATGGTTGACAGCATTGAAGCTAACTATGTTGCCCTGCCACCCCACCCCCTTCTCTGCCTGTTGGAAAAGGAATCATCCCTGACTCTGGATGAGGCCTGCACAATACTGGCGCTCAGAGAAAGGGCAGTGAAGAATTGTGGACATTCCCTGCTGCTATCCTTCCCGGAAAGAAGCCTCTCAAACATCGCAACAATGTGCTCCATCTATCAGATGTTCACGTCAGCCCAGCACATCCTGGATCAGCAGTTCACTAGGTGAGTGCCCACCCCATAGCCAGCACAAGGGGGAGTCTTCCGTCTACTAGTTGTAAGTCTTGGGAATGTCACTGCACCTCTCTGACCTTCCCTTTCCTCTCCTGAAAAGTAGGGGTGCTAAGAGGATGAACCTTATAGGGTGACTGGAGGAAGTCATGGGAGGAAACATGGCACACACTTCTCTGCGGCCCAGCTCAGTAGAAAGGGCTGCTGAACATGCTGGCCATCTTCCTGGTTAACGTTTCTCTCTCCAGGGAAGATGCATTAAGGCTCAGCCCTCACAGGCCTGTGGTCCTTCTGGATCTACAGAAAGGAAATGGAAAGCTGGCAGGTTTTCTGTTTGCAAAGGACTTCTGGCATTCCATCTAGTTGGTCCTGGTTGTAGTCCTTTATGTGCCCAGATCAAGGGGACACTGGGAGCAGACAAGAGCAGCCCAAGGGCCACTCAGGATTTGCAAAGTCTTGTTTGGGATGATTTCATTCAGTAATGGATCTTAGGCACCTACGAATGCAGGCACTCTCTAGTCACCAAGAGCAGTGAATGGGTAAAGTAGAGACAATGTCTGGGTCTCAATGCTCGTCCGAGGGTCAGATAGGCACTCTCCACATCTTAAGCATGCATGTCTAGCGTTCATCAGATGGGGCATCTCTGTGATCTACTCTAGGGATGAATGGATCCACCTCTATTGGGACCATGAGGATGTACTCTACAATCAAGGAACAACAGGATAGGTCTTTGGGTGCCATAGGAGGGTCTGCTGCATCCACGGAGCTGGGTGGGAGGCAACAGGGTTTGTTACTGGCGAAGGACTTCAGAACCATGGATCTCCCAGAAGTCTTGATTTCCATGGAAGAGCTTAATGGGGCGGCTTCCTCTGAAGAAGCCAATGAGTCCAAGAGAGGTGTGGACGGGATGCCACATTGTGGGCTGAGTTGGTGCCTACAACAGCCATCCCTTGGATTGTCCTTTCTTGCTCTGTGTGCTGCTATCCATATCCACCTCCGCTGACCACCACAAGTGGGGCCAAGGACAGAAGGTGTGGGGACCAGACCACTCACCCATCGGCCTACAACCAAAGCCCAGATACTGGTCTGCATGGAGAATGTATGACTGAGGGACCAAAGGACAGACCTATGGGAGGTCCCTCATCCCACCTGGTCAGCAGTCAGCAAGGACAGCTCCAGAGTGGTTCAAAGTGGGCTGGGGCCATTCTGTGGGGCCCACACTGAAAGAATGGTGCTGTGGGAGTAGCATGGGGAAGGAAAGGTCAGGTCTCCGACTCTGCTCCACATATGACTTTCCCTAGCACTCTGTGTACCATCTTGGGAAGCTGGCCTGAGCAGACATGGCAGGATATCAGGCAAGGGAGGTCAAGGGGGCCAAGGGGGCCTATGTGCACCTCAGGTGGCATGACTGGGACCTGAACACCCATGCCCCCGTTCTGCTGAGGCAGCGGGAACTTCTGCAGCTCTCAGAGGCTGAGGCGGAGGGTAAGGGGCATTGCAAGCTGAGAAGGCCATCTGGGATGGGGCTCATGGGCTGGGTATTCCTTGGAAGGCCATGGGAATTGTCCTGTTTAGGGAAAGGCACATGGAATGTCAGTGATGTGCCTGAACCTTTCCCTCTCTCCCACCCCCGTGTCAGCTAGCGACTTGTTCCATCAGCTGAGCCAGCCAAAGAGCCTCCCATGGAGCGAGAGGCAACCGTGGCTCTGCATCAGCCATCACCTTCAGGGTCTGAGCCAGCCTCCCCTCCACCTCCAGAACTGGAACAGGGGCTCCTATTTTATGAATGTTCGCCATATCCTGAGGCACAGACAACTGGGCCATTGGCTTGCCTGGGAGTTTTCACTCCAGCTGTCCCAATTGCCACTGAGCCCACTCCAGCCACAGAGGCGTCCTGCCAGCCCAAGAACTGGCTCAAACAGAAGGAGCCTGACCTCCTGGACTTCCCTCCCAAGCTGGTGGCAGAGCAACTCACCTACATGGATGTGGTGAGCAGCTGGGCCCCCAGGGTAGGAGGGCAGGGCCAGCTTTTCTTCTGCTCTCAGCTGCCCTACACCTGCTTTTCCCTGATGGGGACTCCTAGGATATGGGGCCAGATCTCAGCTGCAGCCCTAACCAACCATGGAAACCCATCAGGGTTTTTAGACCTGAGCTTTCACTGTCCAGCTGCAGATTGTGGAGACAGACACTGAGAAGGATTGAGGCAGAGGTACCACATAGATGCAGTAAGTCACAACTGAGAGACCATAAATGGGAAGGCTCTGGTCCCTCTGGGGGAGGAGGGCAACTCCCTGTGTGCAATCATGTCCATGGGTCACCCACCCATCTGCCAGGGAGCCTGAGAACCCTCAACCTTGATTAGGCATCTGATGTGTCCTGAAGGACAGGCTAGACAGGGAAAGCCGTGCTTTCAGCCACTATGTGAGAATGGGCATCTGAAAGGAGACAGGGACCGTGGGGATGAGCATGTGGAGGAGAAGATGCCCCCTTGGGAGCTCCTCCTGGAGCGGCCCCCTGGACATGGAACTATCAGCATGCACATGCCTTCCTCCCTTCCTTTGCCTCTCTTGGCTCCGGAGGCAACCTGCACTGGCTTCCCTCAAGAAAAAGAGTGGCATGAAACCCAGGCTCTCTAAGCAGGCTCAGGCCACATTCACAGCCTCCTGAGCTCCAGCTCTGACCTGGGACCCCTCCCGAGGACATGAGTCTTACATGTGTGTGGCTCAACAAAGCTCCCCCTGTCCCCTAGGAGCTGTTCAAGAAGGTGGTGCCCCATCAGTGCCTGGGCTCCGTCTGGTCCCGGAGGAACAGGCCTGGCAAAGAGCACCTGGAACCCACAGTCCGAGCCACCATCACCCAGTTCAATGCTGTGGCCAGCTGCATCGTCACCACGTGCCTTGGCAACCCAAGCATGACAGCCCAGGACAGGGCCATGGTGGGGGACCACTGGATCTGGATGGCCAAGGTATGCTATGGGAGGCCCAGCTCCCTGAGGCTCTCCTGAGCCTCGGGAACTGCTCTTCTGTCTTTCTCCCTTCTCAAGGCTGACGACCCTGCTCTAAGACCTGTGGTCCCTACGCTCCTCTGCCCGGGGGCATGCTGACCTTCACTCGCATGGCCCAACTTTGGGACGCTCAGTTCCTACGTGACTCCTTCTTTGCAGTGAGGGAACATCCTCCCTCTCGGCAGCAGTGTTCCTCGTTAGGGCTGACCTGTGCCCTTCTGTAGTTCCTGGACATCAGCTTCATCAGTGGGGGAGCCGGAAGCTGAGGGGGGCACTGAAGCTCTCGAGCATCTAGGGTGCCTGCTCTCCCACTGACAGCTCCCTCTCTTCCCTCCCCCAGGCCTGTCAGATTCTAGGGAACTACTCCTCCCTGCATGCCATCCTCGCGGCTCTGCAGAGCGTCCCCATTCACCGCCTGAAGAGGACATGGGACAACGTTTCCAGGTGAGTAGGCTTCTCTCCAGGGAGGGACCAGGATGGAGGCAGGATCTCCCAAAAGGCCTGTCCTTTTCCCTTCAGTCAGCTTGGACCTCCAGGGAGGCAGCAAACCCCAACCAAAGGACCTGGGCCTGGGGCTGCTTCTCTCAGCCTTCCTGGGAAACAGGCCTTCATGCCTCCTGCTTGAGAAACCCAATTTCCTCCATGCGCCACCCTGGGCTGAGCTGAATTCCATATTCCCACGTGGTGACTTGGCAGCCACTGAACTCTGCCCATGGTTCAACCAAACCCCCCCCCCAAACTGAGCTGTTCAATTAAGCTGGGAAGGGATGCCCAGGAGGACACCCAGGAGAACTCCCTCCCATGTCCTACGAAGACCTCAGTGCTCAGAGCAGCCCAGAGCAAACCCTCAGCCAGCCCTTTGGACATGTGGGGGTTCTCCAAGAAAAGGGACTCAGACTCTACCCTGCCACATTATGCCTCCCCTGAGCCTAACTTCTTTCCCTCTCTTCAGGAAGAGCTTCCAAACCTACAAAAAGCTCTGCAGAGGAGACAACCCCCAGGGCAGGGAACTACTCATCAAGGTAGCACGGAAGGTGCAGGACTAGAAGGACAGGAGGGGTGTGAGGAGGCATGATCGTATGTGGATGAAGGAGGGAATGGTCTGAAGCATTCCTCGGGGAGCAGAAGCCTTTGGCATGAATGTGCTGACAGCCTGGGCTGAAGATTCCCCCTGGGGCTGCGACAAGCTGGTGCTGCCCATCCAGCCTCCCTAGGCTAGAATTCAGGTCGCTCTATGTCCATCGAGATGATCCACATGGGGGCCCATATGAACACAGACAGCCCAGAGGACAGGCCTCTGTTCACAGATGGAGTGGAGATGGGTTGTGGGCCACAAAAATGATGATTGTAATAGGATCCTGAGTCCTCAGGAGACCATAGGAGGTAGGTGGAGTTCTTCCTTCTGCCAATGAGAAAACAGGCTCAGGGAGGCCAGGCTCCAAGCTCCAGATCCCTCATGGACTGAATGGGGGAGCTGAGATTGTTCTAGAAGGACTCGTGGCATGCTTCAGGAGAATGGAGCATCGGTATCAGCAGATGTAGGTCAGATGTCTAGGGTCTGAAGTCAAAGACAGTGGGTGCAAGGGGACTGAGGCTATTCTGCTCTCAAGGATCTTGTCCTTGGCCCTCTAGGAATGGCCCTCAAATAAACTTACCACCCTGCTGAGGAAGCTGCGGAGAGTGTGGAAGGGGCTGCCGATAAAGGTGAGTGTGCCTGAGGGACAGGGCCTCCAAGGTCAGGGGAGAGGGGCTCCTCCCCTAGGGCTACAAGCCTCCAGATCAGGACAGGTGGGGCCTGCGACTCCAACTCCACCTCCTGTCGCCACAGTTCCTCAGTGTCTTCTTTGCCAGTGACCAGGAGGAAGGAGTCTAGCAGGCTGCATAGAGAATGGATTTGTGGCTGGGGAGGGGCCCAGGGCTCCATACCCTGTGATTTTGAATTTCAAAAAGCAGGCCCTGGAGGGGATTAAGAGGAGTCTGATATTCTGGGAGGGTGAAGGGAAAGGGAATCGAGGAGAAGCAACTAAGGGTCCTAGGCCCTTCCATGTGGGAAAGTGGGGTGGGCCAGGACGCTGAAGCTTTTTCAGGGGAGGGCCCCTGTGGGCACCAGAGAGTATGGACTCATCCCAAACCTACCCCTCACGACACAGGGTGTCGTCCCGTACCTTGGCACTTTTCCTCACTGACCTCTGGATATTGGAAACTGCAGTGGAGGACTACCTGGAGGTGTGTGAGCCTGAGGATAGTGGAGGAGGGACCAGAGTCCAGAGAACTGGGAGCAGAGTGTCCTTGTACTGAGCACTGAGCTCTGCGTACTTAGGAGACCTCTCCTCCTGACAGCCTCACAGCCGCCCATGTGAACAGGGGTCTCTTGCCCAACTCAGTGCTGAGGGAAGGGAGTCTGCACCTAGATGGCTGCCCAACTGGTGAAGCACCAGAGCTTCCTGAAGGCAAAGCTGCATGCATTATGTGTGATTGTGCCCCAGCCTCTTCCTCAGAACTTGCCTGTGGTGAAGAGTGAAGTTAGGACCCTGCACATCAACAACAAGTCAGGAACCCATAAACGCCTGCTTGCCTGAGGCTTCTGCAGCTCCCTTATGTCATCCCAGAATGTTGTGCTGCTGGGTGCAGACCTGGAGCCCTATTAAGGAACACAAATCTTCCTTTCTCTGGACCCAAGGGCTTGCCCTAGACCCCAGTCTCATTGTTTGTGTCTCAGCAGCCCCCTCCTGTGCCCTGGCCTATGTGTAGCCTAAGAAGGGGGGTGTGTAAGGTGCTAGTCCTGACCGAGGGCTATTTCTAAGGAAAAATGGTTGTCTCCTTTACAGGGGAAACAGATCAACTACTCCAAAAAGAATAAGGTGAGCATATGTGGCACTTCGTGTAGGGAGGGGGAGGCAGCCCCTATCAGAGACGCCCTTGGGAAGAATATTTCATTGCTTCATCCCCTCCCATCCATCTCACATTTCCTGGGATAAGATGCTAAGAAAGAAGTGGAAGACCCATCTAGTGAGTCAGTAGGGGTCTAGAAAAGGCGTCAAGTAGAACATCCTGGAGGAGGGGCTAATTCTAGTTGCTTCTGAGTACAGTTTGGAACCGGATGTAGTTGCATGCTGGAGGGTGGCCATGTGTGCCAAGACCCAGGACCGGTCCCCCGTCCCACTGCTCAGCCCTCACCTGGCCCTGTACCTTCCCCACCCAGGCTCGGTGGGCATCCTGTGCCTCTCTCCTGGCCCAGGAATACCGAGTCCTCATGGACATCATGCTGCTCCAGGCGGCGGCAGAGAATTACTGCCTAGAGCCTCAGCATCCATTCACGGCCTGGTTTTGGTCTGTGGAGCGGCTCAGCGAGGATGAGACGTGAGGCCCATTCAGGAGCTGGGTGAGGGTCAGGGTGGACTCTTTCTGCTGGCCCCGCCTGGCATCCTTCTTCTAGGGCTCCCTGGGCAGCCAGACACCAGCTGTGGGAAAACCCTGGGAGTTTTGCCAGAATGCCAGCTGCTGCTCAACTCACAGGTGTCCCTCTGTCCTTAGCTACATCCTGTCCTGCCAGCTGGAGCTGTGGTCCTAGCTGGCCAGCAGAACACAAGCACCAGGACAACTGGCTACAGCCACCATCAGAGCTGAACCCGTGGCCACTGGCCGAGCCTGCTTCCCCCTCTCTCTCTGCCTGTCTCTCTGCCTACTTGTAATCTCTGTCAAATAAATAAATAAAATCTTTTAAAATTTAGAAAAAATAATAAAAATAAAAACCCTCTTGGGTTTCCATGGTTGGTAAGGGATGCAGCTGAGATCTGGCCCCATATCCTAGGAGTCCACATCAGGGAAAGGGAGGTACAGGGCATCTGAGAGCAGTAGAAAACCTGGCCTTGCCCTTCTACCCTGAGGGCCCAGATACTCACTGAGTCCATGTAGGTGAGTTGCTCTGCCACCAGCCTGGCAGGGGAGTCTAGGAGGTCAGGCTTCTTCTCTTTCACCTCGTTCTTGTGTTGGCTAGAAGCCTCTGGTGTTGCAGTGGGCTCAGTGGCAACAGGGACAGCTGGGGTGAAAACTTCCATGCAAGCTGATGGCCTCTCTGCTGGGGCTTAGGACCCATCACCCATACAGGACATGGGAGCCCCTGTCCCAATTCTGGAACAGCTGAGGAATGGGAGGCTGGCAATGACCCTGAAGGTGAGGGAAGATGCAGAGCCAGGATTTCCCCTTGCTCCATGGGATGCCCTTTGTCTGGCTCAGCTGCTTGAATGAGTTGCTGAGCTGACACTGGGGCAGGAGAAAGGGAAAGGTTCAGCGACATCACTGACTTTCCATGTGCCTTTCCCTAAACAGGACAGATCCCATGACCTTTCAAGGAATACCCAGCCCATGAACCCCATCCCAGATGGCCTTTTCCTCTTGCAATGCCCCTTACCCTCCACCTCAGCGTCCTTGAGCTGCAGAGTTCCTGCTGCCTCAACAGAAAGGGGGCATGGGTGTTCAGGTCCCAGTCATGCCACTTGAGGTGTAAATAGGCTCCTTGACCTGGATATGGGCACTGCGCTAGGACTGCCCAATATCCTGCAGTGTCTAATCAGGCCAGGTTCCCACAATGGGACACAGAGTGCTAGGGAGAGTCATATGTAGAGCAAAGTCAGAGACCTGGCTTTTTCTTCCTCACGCTACACCCACAGAACCATTCTTTCTGTGTGGGCCCCACAGAATGACCCCAGCCCACTTGCAACCCCTCTGGAGCTATCCTTGCTGACAGCTGACCAGGATGGATGAATGACCTCCCATAGGCAGGTCTTTTTCCCCATCAGTCATGCATCCTCCATGCAGACTAGTATCAGAGATATATTGGAGGCCAATTGGTAAGTGTTCTGGTCCCCACACCATTTCTCCTTGGCCCCACTTGTGGTGGTCATTGGAGGTGGACATTCAAAGGGGCAGGCAGAGCAAGAATGAACCACCCAAGGCATGGGTGTTTAAAGCACCAATTCAGCCCACAGTGGGCTCTGCTTCCCAGGGAGCTTGGCAGCCCATCCACAGCTCTCTCGGACTCTGGCTTCTTCACAGGAAGCCGCCCCATTAAGCTCTCCCATGGAAATCAAGACTTCTGGGAGATCCATGGTTCTGAACATCCCCGCTCCCCCCGCAAGCAACAACCCTTGTCATATCCCACCATGCTCTGTGGTGGCAGCAGGCCCTCCTTTGGCACCCAAAGACCTATCCTGTTCTTCCTTGATCATAGAGTGCATCCTCATGGTTCCAATAGATGTGGATCAATTTATCCCTCAAGTAGGCCACAGAAATGGCCCATCTGATGAACTCTAGACCTGCGTTCTTTGGATGTGGAGAGTGCCTATCTGACCCTCAGACATAATTTAGACCCAGACATTGTCTCTACTTTAACCATTCACTGCTCTTGGTGACTAGAGACTGCCTGCATTCCTAGGTATTTAAGACCCATGATTGAATGAAATCATCCCAAACAAGAC